TTTTTTTTTTTTTTTTTTTTTTTTTTTTTTGTTAAAATAAAATGAAAATTGACTCCTAAATTAATGTGCAAAATATTTATTGACGTAACAATGTACTAATAAATTGGGTAAATTATTTTAATGGTAAAATAATAATAATAATTTCCATAAATTTATTTCAAAAGGACAAATAAAGTGTATTTTTTATAAAATTTATGGAAAATGTAAAAATTAAATTTAAATATTGCTATAATTAAAAAAAATCAAAATACAAACATGAAGATGATAGTTTAACCAAAATATTAATAAAATTGAAACATATCACATGCCTACACTGTAAAGATAAAATTATATTTCTTTTGATTCCTTTGTTTTTTTAAATACGAATATAATACAAATTAATTTAATATTTATTTATTTTTACTGAAATTAGATAAAAAAAAACAAATTTAAAGTTTATTGAGAAATGTGTAAAATTAGTTGCGATCTGTGAACAGTTTAATTTGGATGAAATTATTAGAATAAGAGTAAATAATGGGTCTCTGTCCGTACAATCCTTCGCCAATCACGGGATCACCGCCTGTGACTTTATCATTGCTTTCCGATTCCCTTATTTTATTTCTAATTATAAATTTCACTCTAAAATTTTAACTCAATTTAAATATCAAACTTTATCCATTATTATTATTATTTTTTTTTTTTGTTATTTATCTCCGTTAAATTTTTTTTTACTAAAAAAAATATATATTAGAGCCCTACATAATCATTTAACACAATCTATAGCTAGCGAGTGACATGATGGAGTGCATCTGTGAGAGGGTAGTGCGACATACATGGACATGCAATGTTGTCGCTGTTAGATGAAAGTGTCCCACATTGGTTAATTTAGGGAATGATCATGAGTATATAATCTAAGAATACATTCTCCATTGGTATGAAGCCTTTTGGGAAAGTCCAAAGTAAAGCCATGAGAGCTTATGCTCAAAGTGGATATCATACCATTGTAGAGAGTCGTATTCGTCTAACTGGGCGTTGGTGGTGGTGTGTGCAAAAAAAGTTTTTTTTTTTTATTGGATCAATTCAATTTGGATTAAACCTAAATTTTGTTTCATAAACTCGAAAATCACGGAACCAATTCAATTCCAAAAAAGATAACATAACCTAATCCAAATCCAAATCCAAAGTGTTGTGTAACTCAACCCAGTTTTTATGATTCGGGTTGAGTTGGTTGAATTCTCGAGTTCGATTAACATCCCTATTAGGATTTGATGCATAGTACTTTGCACACAGGCCAAACACATACTTATAAATTCAGTCAGACTTGTTAACATACCCTCTAAATCTAACTATAGATAATTGCATGCTCACGTACTAAAACGGACTAAAAAAAAATACAAATAATACTGTAGTGTCTCGTAAATCATGTAAAAAAACGTGAACCCATTAAAGACAAGTTACTCTCGGGTTCCTCCAAAATTAGAAAAACCAAATAATAATAATAATAAATAAATAAAAAGCATTATTTGTGATGTGAATTATCCAATTTGTCCCATCTTAAATGGGAGCACATGCTTATACCTCCAAAACCCTTCTCCTCACCTTTCATTTTCCAACCCCATATTTATAGAATATGTCACCATCTTCAATATTTTTTATTTTTTACCATCATTTTTAAATTCAACTAATACATTACATTTTTAACACATTAATTATGCTAATTTTATTATCTTTCAAAAAAAAAAATACTTGGTTTTGATTATTCCTCTTAATTTTAAATAAATAATAATTAAAAAAAAACTAAAACTAATAAGAAAGTCAATTCAAAATGATTTAAAAACATGATAATACATAATTAAATTGATGAAATCCAAATAAAAAATAATGTATTTACTATTGGACCAACTTCATTAGAACTAATTGATTATTAGTAATACAATTATGAATAAGAAAGTACCATTATTAGGTATAAGAATTCAAAGTCTTAATAATTCTAAAAAAAAAAAAAATAGATAAAAGGAAAAGGACTTCTCCTTTACCTTTTACTTTGTGTAATGTGACAAAAAAGGCAACGGTGTTAGGAGTAAAGTTTCGATCTCGGGATCTGTGGATTATGGGCCGATCACACTTTCGATGAATAAGCTATATGTAGATAAGTATTACCCATCCAGTTTTGTCTCGACTAAAAGTTGAGACCAAGATCTGATTGCATTTTTTGACCTAGTAATGGAGTGACTCATGGGCTATTTCTTAAAATACTCCAGCACCGTATAATTAAAAATCAGTCACTTAGAAGCATGACATAATATACATCAAGCCATCATCTGCAACATGATCACTTACCACAAATAATCTAATGGGATTCGAATTCTTCCATCAACTCTCTCAGCATATTGAATCAACTTATAATCAAAGAAAACCCAATTGAATCACGTTAAAATAGGATGAAAACTATCCTTTGATGAACTATGCCTAAATTGGGTCAAAAGCATTCTAATAGGTGTTTTAGCTTTCAATTTTTTTGGTGGAGTTTACACAGATTGGAGAAATCTTTTAGATCAAAGTTGATGATACGAGCCATCAAAATAGATTTCACAATCCAACTTAACTTAACCCTCTATTTTTCAATTGTTCGGTTGTTTTTTTTTTAATTATTTAATAAATTTCTATTTTCATAATATATGTTGTTATATTAATAACTAAAATCTCATAAATATCAAATATTCACAAGTCACAAGCAATCACTAACCATCGTTCCAAACGGCAAATATTCTTAATCTTCGTAAATATGTTAAAAGTACGATTTGAGTTGTAATATCGCTCAAACTCAAAATCATGTCCTTCACAAATCACAACTACACTAAAAAAAAAAAAAAAAAAAAAAAAAAAAAAAAAAAAAAAAAAAAAAAAAAAAA